ACTCGCAAGAGGCAGCAGCGGCAATGTAAACGGAAGAGAAATAGAAAAGGGGCAGAGAGAAAAGAAAAAAGTAAACAGACCGAGTAAGAGAGCAATGGACATAAATTTGCTAAAAGAGAGAATAAGAGGGAAAGAGAGTAAAGTCAGTTTTCGCGTGTTGCATATATATGGTGTTAAAGAAATGATACTTAGCGTAGAAGGAAGGAAGAAAGGAAGGAAGGAAGGAAACTAAATCACACGTTATTGAACCGACGCAATACAGTAGTATGATGACGGTGATAATGGTGATAATGATGATGACGATGATGACGATAATGACGATAATGATGATGATGATGATGATGATGATGATTATGATGTTGGTGATGGTGATGACGCTGATATATAAAGAAACCAACAAGCCTTTGCCTATATGCTTTCTAGTTGGGGCGGTAATGGAAGGCACGAGCTTACGAATATATCCTTTTTAAGGACAAACAAAACACGAACACATGGCAAAAACGTGCATAATACAACACGAGACCTTAAAGTTGAAAACGATTGCCATACATTAGCATTTACACACATATACTGGCAACATCAACACTCATCTAAGGCTCGTCTCAAAAACATTCGACTCGATTTTTTCTGAAAATAAAAATAAAAGCAAATCAAAATATATATGTATAAAAAAGGTAAAAGAAGGAAAACACATAAATATGCGAAATAAACAGATAAATAATTAATACCAACTACAACAAATGTAAAGAAGAAGAAGAAGAAAAACATCATTGCCTTTTATTGAGCGAAGTCATGGTAAACCAAAAAAAATTATTTTGCATCCACGAAAAGCGAAAAAAAATAAATAAATAAATAAACAAATGAATAAATAAATCGTTATATTATAACAAGAATATATTATTAAAAAAAAAAAAACAAAAAAATGTTAGTGAATAAAATAAACAATAAAAGGAAAACAATGCTAACAACAGTAACAAACTTTCTCTGACTCACTTGGTTAAGGCCAAGAAGAAAAATATATATATATATATATATATATATATTCACTAACACTTGCTTACACATACACATTTATACATAATCCCTCTCACCGACACATGCATACAAAAATGTATACATATACACGTACACGTTTGGATGGTTGGTTGGCTGGTTCGTTTGCGGGTTCTAGTGAGTTAAGTTAAGTTAGCAATTTTTATTTGTTATTTGCCAAACGAACATGAATAAACTTGTTATACTTTAACCGGATTTGTATGTCATTTAAACTTGCAAAAAAAAAAAAAAAAAAAACAAAAAAAAAATAGACAAAAAGAAACCGTTAACGCTTATAATCAAAACAATTAAATATAAAAACTGTTTTAATATATTATTTATTCGAAAAAAAAAAAACAAAAACAAAGACGACAAACGAAACTTTAACTTTGCGTTACCGTATCGTAGTCCCCAGAAACTATGCAATACCAAGCACAGCTGCAATTATAATGAAGTTTGTGTACTTGGCATGCAGCAGCCGTTGCAGTATCTCCGCAAAATGAAGGCATGATGCTGCTAGTGGTTGCAAAAAGTGGTGGTAGTGAAGATGTTTTTCCTGTTTTTTTTTTTTGTTCTTCTTTTGAAATGCTATGCGCAAGAGTTGCTGCTGGCGAATTGTCGATGTTTAGAGATAAAGTTTCAATAGCTGTTTTTTTTTGTTATATTTCTTCTTATATGTATATTTTCTATCGTGGAATAGCTTTAAAAAAATTCAAGTAAAAAAACTCTGAAAAGAAAAGAAACAAGAAGCAGAAAGAAAGAATTAAAAAAAAAAAAAAGAAAGTAAAACAAAAAACTCGCAAATAATAGAAACATGTGACAACGCCTTGCTTGGAAAAGTTTTGTAAATTTTAATTCAAAATTAAAATATAGCAAACTATTACAAAAATTTTAATAAAGCAATCAAGTTTTAATGCTTAGTGCTTAGTATCCTTCTTTCTTTTTTTTTTTTTGTATTATATATCACATTAATAATCATGTTTGAAAAGCGCTTGATTAAAAGCGTAAAGCATTAAGAAAGTGTTTCATAATTTTTATATGCATTTGTTATAATTAATAGAAAAAATTAAACTAACGTCATTTTACTGTGATATTAAGTGGCTTATAAAACAATAAAAACAACCAACCAATCAAGAAACCAACCAACCAACAAACCAACCAATGTTTTAAAGCAATATAATTATTAAGCAAGAAGCGCAGCAAATAACTGAAATAACATAAAAAATTTTAAATTGAAAAGAAAAATAATTAAATGAAAATATAAATCAGGAAAAAAAAAAAAACCAAAAAATGCAATGACTCACACCAGCTCTTATCAGTAATTAAAGTGTACGGTTTCGTGAAAAAAATTCATATATAAAATATAAATAAAATTAAAAAGTAAAGATAATTGTAAAGTTAAAGTCCATGGTATAAAAGGAAAAAAATACGAACGACACGTGAGCAGTAAAAGTGGTAGGATATAAATAATATCCACATATTAATGATTAAATAGCGATTAAATGAAAATCTAAAAAACGAATCTATTCTAGCAAATGTTAAAAAAAAATAAAAAATAAATAAAAACAATTAAGCTAATGAACAAAGTAATTTATTTCAACTTAATTTTACTGAAATAGTACTAAAAAAACAAACACCAAAAAAGTACACAGAGGAAAAAATTTAGGCGATAAAATTTATATATAAAAATGCAATTTATTATTCCTTTTGAGCGAATAACATTAATAAAATTCATAAAGCAGCATAATTTTGTCAAAATATAAAAAGATCGCTGAAACAAAAGAAAAAAAAAAAAAAAAGAAATTCAAAATAAATGTGCAAAAAGAAGAAGAAAAAGTAATAAGCCAAAGTAGATACAATTAAAAATTCAATATAAAAAAACGGAAAAAAATGAATAAGCAATTAAGAAAAATTAAAATACAAATCGGCTAGTAAATAAAACAAAATTTAATTTAAAAAAAAAAAAAATTAAATGGTAAAATAAATAAATTTAAATAAAGCATAAATAAATTTAATAAAAGGGTAAATTTAAAATTTAAAAAATAATAAAAAACAAAAGAAAATGTTTTTAATTTTAAGTAAATATTTAATATTACATATTTTCATTTACATCATACAATATTTAAAATAAAAAACGCTTAAAAACTAAATAAAGAAAAAAAAAAAAAAAAACATTAAACCGGAATGGCGCCAGTAAAATTCGAAGTCTAAGGAATAGTAAGAATAAAAAAAAAAAGAAAAAAAAATATTTATTTTAAAGTAAATAAATATTAAACTTAAGACATTTTGCATTTTTTTTTTTTTTTTAATTGATAGCTAATTAAGCTATAGCGCCAACTATTGGAAACAATCTATGGTCAGAGCCTCATAATTTTAAAGTGAAAAATAAAAAATAAAAGAATTTTTTTACTTAACAACACAAATACACCAAACTAGTGGCAATAAAAGTCGCAAAACGAAAATAAAAGCGAAGCTTATTAATAAATTTTCCTATTTTCAAAATAACACAGAAAGCTACTAACAATAAAAAATAATAAAATAAACATAACACAAAGAAAAAAATGCAATAACAATAATAATTAATATTAGTAAAAGACTTACAAAGGAAATTAAGTGCAATACCAAAAAAAAAAAATTATAAAAAATATAAAATGAAAAAGTAATGATTATTAAATACAAAAAGCTATAATAAATAAATGTGAAAAAAAAATATAAGAAGAGTTTGCAATGATTGCGAGATATGGTAAGGGAAAGAAATTTTCAAGGGAAAACATGTTGCTTAAACTGAATAATAAATATTAGAAAATTGCGCATATTCTCGGATCACTTTAGACGAACGTGTACGGTACCGTGCTGAACTAATTAATTCAAATTTTTTCAATATTTCATGCTTTCGCTTATACAAAATACTTTTGCACGAAAGTGAATTTTTTATATATTAATATCAAGAAATGCACGATGATAAGCACGAATTATTTTAATAATGATAATTATAAAAAAAAAAAAAAATATAATAATAATAATGAAAATGAAATAATGCAATTGTATTAAAAGTGTATTTAATGATCAGGCACAGGATGGTGTATTAAGAACAAATCTTAGATCAAATATATTTTTTAGAATTACGCATTAAAAATAAAAGGAAATTCAACGTAAACCCCGATTACTGGATGTACTGGAGGATTTTTTTCTGAAGAGCGCAAAGAAAAGTCAGAAAAAAAAAAAAACAATGTCTTGATTTATTAAATGTTTTGTAACATCACGAGGCTTATTAAAAGAATAAATGTAGTTTAAAAGAAAAAAATTGATAATAATAATAATAATAACAATAAAATTATAATAACTTATAATAACGATAATAAAAAAAAAAATAAAATTAAAAAGTTTTGATGTGATATGACCGCGGAGTAGAGTGCCTGAATGATTAGAAAGCAACAGATAAAGTCCACTTATAAAAAAAATAAATAAAAAGCGAAAAAAAAAAATTAAAAGCAAAATATCAACATTCAACAAAATAAGAAATTTTGCTTTTTAAATTATCTAATTTTGTTTACACACAAAACAATCATTTCTTAAATAACAAATTAAAATAATAAGTTTAATAAGTCTTTATTATTTAAGTTTAATAGTCTTTAACCTACACCTACAACCCTTCCTGGCTACCATCTGTGTGTCTGCACGTATAGGGGACATCCCCTAAATGGCTGGTCACATATGAAAAAAAAAAAAAAAAAATTTAAATTAAAATTAAATAAAAAATTTAAAAAAAAATTTAAAAATTTAAAACAAAAAAATAAATTTAAAGTAAAAACTTAAATTACAATTAAAAAAATTAATTAACAAATATTTTGAAAAAAAAACAGAAAGCGAAAACTTCTTAACGATTAAAAATTCTTAAAGGAGCATGCATGAGTTTTTTTTTCATGAAAATAAAAAATGAACAAAAAAATAAAAAAATAAATAATAATAATATAAATAAATAAGTATTGAAAAGTGCTTTAAAATATTTTTTTTCTTGAATTTTTTAACTAAAAGATGGCTTGATTTTAAATCTTTGAACCAAACAGTTAAAAACCAGTTGCCACTGTTCATATGCGAACTCAACTCCATAGTAAATTCTATAGAAAAAAAAAAATTTTGACAAAAAATTACAATAAGTAATAAATAAGTGGATAAAAGGAATAATATACAAAAGTAAAAAAAATAAATTGAGACAAAAATACATGAGCACTTACTTTTAGCAACCGTCACTGGGCATTTTTTTAAGCTTCAACTGCTAGCCACGCACCCTAACGAAATTCAAAATCAATTTTATATCGAAATTGTGCATATATTGTTATAGGACAGAGAGAATATTAAAAAAAAAAAAGAACCAAACAACTACAAAGTAATTTGAAGGAATAAAAACATGATTTAGTTTTAAAATAAATGAAATAATAATAATTCGTTCAACGAATGTAACGAGTATCAAGAAATAAGAAGCAGAAAAGACAAAAAGTCCAAAAAAAAAAGAGAAAAAAAAATGGGTTCTCATGATCCCGGCTCATGCGATTGTTGTGGCACGACCAGTGACCGTAGCAATAGCAATGGAAATATACGTTTGTCACAACAACAACAACAACAGCAACCGCAACAGCAGCAGCAGCAGCAGCAGCAACAAGCTTTAAATAACAATAATAATAGCATTCAAGGGCAGCCACCGCAAAGGCCGCATTTACCGCCTTTACCTATACAACCGCTATTGCCAGCACCACCCGCAAGACTTGCAGAGAATCATCATCATCATCATCATCATCATCATCCTCATCATCATCATCATCATCAGTTACAAGCAGCCAATGCACCAATTGACGGGCAACCATTGCAGCCGCCTGCACAGCCAACAAATGCCGACAGTTCACGTCAACGCACAACTCGCAGTCGCCCAACTCAGCGTATACAAGATCAGCAGAATAATAATAACAATAATGACATTAACACCAACAATCGTAACGCTTTACAACATGTTGCTCATTATATAAATCAAGTGAATTTACATTTAAATTTAACTAATAACAACAATAATAATACAACTGCAGCAGCGCCAGTAGCATCAGCAGCGGCAGCAACAACAACAGCAACAAACACAACAACGCAACAACAGTCAAGGCAGTCAGCACGTTTAACTATAGCACAGCTTCCAAGTGAATTCGTTTACAATAACAATAACAATCATATTTATGTAAATCCGCATTCGTACGATACAAACACTGCCGCTAGTCTTAGCACAAGTGCTTCGCATACTGCCACCGGTTCAACAGCTGTTGTAGTGCCACAATCATCAGCCAACGCCTCCGGCAACTTAACACAATGGCAAGATTATCAAGATGTCAATTTGAATAATAATTCATTGGTGGTGGGTGAGGGTACTGGCGGCGGTATAACGGGTGGTGGCGGTGGTGGTGATTTAACTCGCCAGCATACTTCCACTACGCTTAGCACTTTAAATACATATCTGTTTCCATGTGGTGTCGATTCGGCCGGCACCATAGGTGGTATCACGTTTAATGGCAGTCAATCCTGCGATTTAGATTCGAATTTTAGTCGTATGGTAGCGGGCAGTGAGGAAGGCGGCAGCTCTACGATAAGCTCCGGTCTCGGTTTCATTAATAAACGTCGTATTAAACGTTTATTTGGCGTCGGCAGTGGACCGTACGCCTCAGCGTTAAGGCGTCGCAGTTCACAGCTGGCGCAATTTCAAACAGCCGCATTAGCCGCTAAGAAGCAACAAAAAATGGAACGCGAAGCATCAGTGGCTGCCGCAAATGCCGCATTCTATGAGCAGCAACAGAAAAAGAAAAAAGAGAAAAAGAAACCGCCTGGTCCGCCAGCTCAAATGCGCGCGCAAAATTCCCGGCAAATGGAAGATCCAATGATGAATCGTCCCCGACGTAACACCACCAATACGGACAAGAAGAAGGAACAAAAACAGCAGCAGCAAAATTTCTATGAACAAAAGGACAATTTATATGACAAGTATTTCAGAATTCAGATTCAATTCAAATGCAACACCGGCAAAATATTTATTCAATAAAGCTTTAATTTTTAAGTTCTTTTTCATTTTTCGTCTTACTCCCTTTTCCTTTATTTTTCATATATATATATACATGTATATATATATAACTCACTTTTATTTGCACTTTGCTTAGTTCAAGAAGAGCAAAACAAAAAAATTGAAAACATAAAAAAAACAAAAAATGGCTTTTTACGGAATGTGAATAAATAAAGCAAAAAAAAACAAAAAAGGATTAAGTTGCACAATTAATATAAAAATGATTTTTGATTTTTGTTTAAAGTTATTATCATTATTATTATTATTATTTTTTTTTTTTGTTTTTTTTTCCTCTTGATTGGAACTTCAATGGCCTTGGTTCGAGCTTTAATCTCCTCTTTAATCAATCATAATTTCATTGAAGCTGTAAGTTTTCGCTTAATATTCTTTATGCATCAAAACCCAAATCAAAGACGTAAACCCATTGTAAATAAATAATTGCTGAGAGGAGAAAAAACAGTTCTCTGAGTATATAAATATATGCACATGGATAACATGATAAGGTTCACGGTCCTCTCAGTATATAAATATATGCACATGGATAAGGTCCACGGTCCACGGTCCACGGTCCACGAAGTCATAAAGAAATTGAAGAACTCGATTGACCACCAAAAGAGAGCAATTCTTTTCAAGTAGAATCTCGAGCCCCATACTCACTTCACACATACGATTAGCGCAACCAGTTCGGATATCTGCTTAAGATATGAATGGGAAGATATATCTGAAAAGAAAAAATTGAAAGCGTCCTACAGGCCTTCACCTACTGGCTAATAGGTGTCAAGAATTTGCAGCGCTTTCGATTAATTCAAAAATTTGTGATTCCAATGTGACAAGTATTCCTCGAACTTTGCAAAAATGCAAATTATTTTCATTGAAAAAACAAACATAAAACTTTGATGCGTTTGGCTTTGTCATTTTTGAAAAAAAGTACAAATTTTCCGCAATCTTATGAAAAAAAAAAAAGGCTGTAAGCCTCAGATGTAGAGAAAGCACTATGAGGCAAGTGGTTGATGAAATTTCGTTACGGAAATATTTGCTGTTCAAAGATTCTTATCGTTCTGCTCGACTAATCCTAACTTATATCGATCAATTTAGGGCTTTCATCAACTTCGGCCAACGTGTAATGATTGTGTATCACAAAACATCGAAATTTCGTTAAGGCTTTGAAAAAGTCGCGACTTGAACGCGTACTCGTTATGCATACACAAACACACATACACACACACAAATGAGCAAATAAGTGATAATACAATCGAAAACCTTAAAACTATTGAGCCTAAAAATAGATAAACTATGGAATTTTTCCAATATCGATGTGCAAAAGCAGGAATTAGTTGGTATAGGTGTAACAAAACAACGTAAAATTGGGGATTTTCTTGGTCCTCAAGAGGACAAGAAATCTTTAGTTCGAGGCCAATATGCTTGTGGTTTAGTATTAATTCTAAAGGTTAGCAAGCTAGTAGTCAAAAAAAAAAAATATATATATATATATATATTGAGTTTATATTAATTGACTAAATATACACGCATTGAAATGCAGAGAAACACTTTCCTTCACGGTCAGAATTGATGAACAAACGATTATGGCCATGACGTATAGGAAATATTCTCATTGTTCTTTATTCTAGAAATTTTTGGTTTAAGAAACATATCGCGTGATCACTTTAAAACGAAGTCTTAGATTAATGGATTGAGTGGTGCAAATGTAAATGCGCACTATACCACTTGCAGGTTATATTAAGTTCATACGTATGAGTAGTATATGTAATACTCCGAAGGGCTTAAGATAAACTCATCTGTAATCATATCGTTCTGTTTGTTCGATTTTTCTGGTCCAAGTGCTATAGCCTACATCCGTTGTGGTACGAGGGTACGTTATGCGGATGTAGACAACGCCAAGAAGCACTTGAGATAGGCCCACTCTTTATTATTTGGATCGATTAAAATCATTTTCAGAATCTGTCTAAGCTCCTCCGCCTGTCTGTCCATACATTTTTGTATTCAACCCACAGGTCGGAGATACTTTGATGAAATTTGGTACACTGGCACCCTTTGACCCAAGAACAAACACCATTGAAAATGAATTTAATTCGATGTTCATTTTAAACAAACATTTGATCATATCCATTCAAGTTTCTTCTCATCGATCCAAGCATCACCTTCAAGGCTAAGTTTATATTGTACATTTTTTTTAAGAACTCACTTAAAGTAATGGATATCTGAGATCCTTTTCAAAGAGTGCGTAGCTTATTTTATTTGTAGTGTTAGGCTTCCGTGTGTAATTCTTGATAGAAGTCATCAGAGAACACATTAAGAATAGATATATTTTAGGCCTGCGTAAGACTTAAAATCATTTGGCTGCGTCCGCGATTGTATCCTATTATTTATCAAAGACAAGTGTAAAAATGTTCTTAATTCGATTTACCGAAAAGCGCCCAAAGTTAGCGAAAGAAGAAAGAACAGTTTTTTGTATCTATCACGGCACCATGGGGGTCTGTTTGTTCATCTCATTAAAGCGAATGCACACCTGAGAGAGTCTATAAAGTACCAATATTGATGATCATTTTCAAATTGTAAATTGATTTAGCCATGTCTGTCTGTCCTTCAGCAAAATGTCTACGCTAAACATTTTTTCAATTGAAAAATTTCGTAAAAACATTGCAAGTTGTTGCGGTCAGCGAGATTGGTATTAAAAATAAGTCAAATCGATCAAATAACACGTCTACCATGTAACATATCGATTTATCTCTGTTTACTATTCACAATCTATAACCAATGGAACGACAAAATATTCCACATGCATACTGGAGTGATCCTAAATTATCGCAATAAAAGGGAAAAATTCAGCCACACTTACATAATACTAGAAAGCATCGAAATTATTATTAATATTTTCTTTTTCCGTTGCTTTAAGATGAAAGCGATGAATATAAAAGACTCAACTATAATCGGATACTTCTTTCTTACTTATTTTAAAATGTTGTCATTACATTTTTTCTTCTTCTATTCTCCCGGCTACACGTTGAAGATAATAAATATTCGGGATACATAGCCTAACACATTAACAATTTCAGAGCATAAATACAGTTTGAATGATCGACGCATGTGACGAAATCAAACGGTTTGATTTTCTCGGTCTTTTTTATGCAAGAATTAATAACGACTTTCCTTATTTAAATCGCTATAATACCATTGTGTCTTCATCTCTTCAATATACACAATTCCATCATCTGCATTCTAGAACATAGTAGCCACGATCTTTTGTGATATCAGTTTGCATATTCAACTCTCAGCGAAAGCTGACGAGAAGCATGCAATTAAAACACTGGAATTCCTACATGAGTCCAGCTCAGGGGAGTGCAAGTCCCGTTGATCATTAGCTTTTCGTTATTTGATCATTAGATTAAGTATCGTCAACTTTTTTCTTACTTTGCCCATCACATAAAAACAGGTGGACTCAATTTGTTCACTTTACGACTTGATGCGGATGTTTGCTTGCAAGCTTCTCAATAAAAATACAAGTGCGATAAGCAACGCAATTCGGGGAAATTGTAGTTGAGTGTCAAATCTTCCCATTCGAAACGGTACACGCTTACTTGCATATGTATTTTTAATTAATTTAAGAGACGGAATCAGTTCAATCAAGTTTATCTGTGATTTTTTCTATTGAAGTCGGCACGACGATCTTTGATCTTAATGAGTGCAACCGCTGTATCAGCTTAAAGGAAAGGAGTTTTTTAACGATATTTTCTGAATGGAAGGATAGATAGCAAAATAATGATATTCATGGAGGCTCTTAGCCATATTTTTAACTATTGAACAAAAAAACACTCTCTTGGAAATGCTTTTAAATGAGCACAAACACGTTCCGAAAAAGAGCTAGAAGAGAGAAGAAGATCAAGAAAGGCATTCATTTGATATCGATAGCGCTTGGGAAAGAATTTGATATTTTCAGGGGAAAAATTGTTTCCGAATAATGTATATTTTTTTCCAGATATTCAAGGACACTGATCTCAGTAGTTTTGTACAATTGGTTCTAGTTGCTCCCGAATCAAATTCTAAGTTTCATTAAATCGCTTGCTTTCAAGACTTTTGTTGTTAAGATAATAATTTCTAACTAGAAATATATAACTTAGTGCGCTTATGTAATAATCATTTTGTTAAGATAATAAATGCTTTGATTTGCTTATTTCATACGCTTTCCGATACATAAATTAGACGTGATGAGGCACCTAAGGATGGACTTACGATACGTTAAAGCTATGCAAATCTTATGCTTACATAGCACATTATGTTACATAGCATATTTACGGTCTACGTGTTTATTTTATTTTTCTTTGCCTTGGAAAAAATCTTTATTAAAAAAATAACAAGGAAGGACTTTAAAAAGATTTAAGGTTAAATTGGCTTGTCTTTGCTTAAAAGGGTAGCATTAGTGTGATTATCGATACTAATAATAACAAATTGTTTTGCATTTTTATGCTTTAAATGCTTGTTATACCTTATTGTACGATACATGTTTAGTTGGAAGCGAATTTAATTTGCTCTCTAAATAAATAGATAATGGGAAAACCATTTGTCAAATAAATTCCATTCTCTAACATCAGTTTTGCAAGCTTTTCTCTTAGCTATACTATATGCTATAATTTATTGATTGCTAATATGGAAGTATAGTGTTTGAATTTAACCTACTTACGCTTGCATATGTGTTTGACACAAAAATTGAAAATAACTTTTAGTTTTTATAATAAATAACCTTAGAGATAATCCCGATGGGCTTTCATAGTGGTTTAGAAATATTATACGCATTTATATTCTTCTATATACACACACGTATATATATATGTAACATATATATATTCTTCTTTATTTACGTTTATTTTGTCAAATAAATCAAAAATCTTTTGAAAAGATTATTTTCTTA